GCGCCTGTCGCCCCGCACCTCCAACCAGATCTCACATGGCCGACCCACCATGATCTTGCAGAGGTCCAACGTTTGGCTATCAATTCTCCTCCTGATGAGGCTGGGAAATTCCCCCCTCTGGGAAAAACTCTCATGGACTACGAGTCAACCGTTCAGAGTTGATTTGGATTCCAGTCACAGCCACTCAAATGCAGCTTAGACTATGCATAATCGGTCATTGTGGCCGTGGTGCTCATCGCAGTACTGATGCAACCTTTGCCAATGTGCACGGCTACTTTTTCTGGGAGCATATGCGGACCGACATCTCCGTTTTTTGCAACACTTGTTTGCACTGTTCGTCTACTATCCGGGGCCTTAGCATCCCTCGCACACTCTCGCACGCGCTTCATGCTGAAAACCCCAACGAGCTGATACATTTCGACTTCCTATATCTTGGCGACAGTATCACCAATGTCACCTACTGTCTTATCATAAACGATGAGGCGTCATCCTTTGTTTGGCTTGAACCGTGTGCTACGGCTGACGCAGAAGCTGTTGTGGATGTCTTACTACGTTGGTTTGCCTCTTTCGGTGTTGTGCTCACCTGGGTATCGGACCAAGGCTCTCATTTCAAGAACCAGACAATGTCTCTGCTCAATCGAGCGCTCCATGCCTTTCACCATTTTACAACTCCTTATCACTCACAGTCCAATGGAACTGTAGAATCTATGTGCAAGGAGGTTCTACGCGCAGCCAGGGCGTTGATTTCTGAGTTCCGTCTCAAGCTTGTAGAATGGCCATCAGTTATTCGTCTGGTTCAAAGCATTCTTAATCACTCGATTCGCCCAAGCCTGGGAAACCGCGCCCCCGTCACTATATTCACGGGTCTACCGGCTGACAACCCTCTGCGAACACTCTTACCACCAGCCCCAGCCCATCCAGTCTCCCTGGATTTTGTGAAAGCTCAGAAGCTAGCTCACACTGATTCCTTGATCAAAGCCCTAGACGAACTTCATCGTAATGTTTCTGAAACAAAGACCCGCAAGCGTCAACAGGCACTTAAAAGTCACAACAAATGCACGGGTGTTCGCGAAGTCAATTTCGATGTCGGCGACTTTGTTCTCGTCGCCGACTCTGAGGGTAAGTCGGGTAACAAGCTCAGAGTACGCTGGAAAGGTCCTCGCCGTGTTGTACGCTGTGAGTCCGCTCTGGTGTACGAAGTCGAGGATCTGCTGGATGCCTCGCGTGCTTTGGTTCATGTTAGTCGTCTAAAGTTCTATGCCGACTCTACACTCGAGTTATCTGAATCCTTTTGGACACAATAGATCACAACGACCCGCACTACAATACAGTGACGAAAATTCTAGGTTTACGCTTCAACGCCGAGACGAAGCAGTTTGAACTCAACTGCAAATGGAGGGGCTTTACACATGAGCAGCCAACGTGGGAACCTTTTGTAACCATACGAGAGGATATCCCAGAGATGCTCGAGCAGTTCCTTCAAAGCTTTGCAAATCAGGAACTAGCAGCAGCAGCTCGTGAAAGCAAAGCTGCTTCTTGGATGAGGGGACTATAGTGGCACTCTGCCACCACGTACCTGTTCCCATTTTAGGCAACATTTCCCTACAGGCATGGCATCTTGCCAGTTGCCATTTTACGCATCATTACGGCTATGGTTTTTAGTTTATCCTTTTTCTCTCTCCCTCGTTTACTTAAGACGAAGACAGTTCTTCATACAATAAAGAGGAGGTAGAGAACTTCACTCTCCCTTCACATTCTCTCGTGCAGGCACAACAGTTCTTCGAAGAGCATCCTGGCGCGGCGTACGCCAACAGCACAGAGCGTTTACTTTCGCAAGTGGAGGCATGGCTGGGGCGGGTGTTGCACCTGCAAGGCAGGTTCAGGTGTTTAGCTAGGTCTAGATCCTGTAGCATATTTCTAGAGGCGCCACAGGAGACAGTAGGCCGATACTGGCGGGCGAATTATTTCTCGAGACACGCCGGGATCAGGAGACAGGAAGATCCCAAAGCGAAAGGCGGAGGTCTGGGGGCCGATTAAAAAATGCCCCGCTTGGGAAACAGGGCGGGGGGCATCACCATGCCCATCGACTTGCCAGGAGAGAGAAGCGGACGCGAGTTGAGTCCTCCCTTACCTTTCCCCGTCCTTTACATGACACCACACTTTGCGCGTCGCACCAGAACCATCACTGGCCTGGCATGTATTCAATGTTGAAATTTTCAAACTTAGGTCGCTGTCTTTTTATTTTCCTAACGTATCCGCACGAAGACCATTTTATGCTGCACTTCATATGCAGTTGCGGTGTCATAGCGTTCTAGTTCATGTGCGGTAGCCGGCTTCAATTCCGCTGAATTGAGGCAATCAGTACTGTAGCATATTACATATAGGCCATTGACTACGGGTCCGAATATACAGAAAGTTATTTCCCACGCGTGTCACCACAGTAGACTGCTAAACTGTTACGTGGTTCTTTCCTGGAACCTGAGTAGAGAAGTTGAGTGTAGCAAGTTGGGACGGTCAGAAGGGTAAACTCTGTTATAATCAACAAGCTTTAGTTGAACGTGTTCTCTCTCTTGTCTCTATTTTTCTCATTGTCCTTCCCCCACCTTTTGCGTCTACCTCTAAATGTCGATGGCTTATATAGACTTTTTGTCGGTACTCTACAGCATGGCAAACTATTCCTCAGTTTCTCCTTGGACCTTTCCAGACGTCCCCGACGATGTATGTATGGTCGTTATGGAACTCGCGATTGAAGGGAGGCGTGCTTGGCTGCCTAGAGCATTCCAGGGTATTGCATCTAGAGTTCTAAAGATATGCCCTATTTTCTTATCTGCCCAATCTCCGCATTTGCCATCGTGGCATTTGTCACAAATATTAATTTTTGGGAATATCTTCTAGACTTTTCCAGTCACTGCTGGATTCGGATGACACATCCATCATTGAGGTCTAGAACTGCTGTGAACAGAGTTGAAGAAGTGAGCTTTGTACTATTGCTGGAGATCCTGCTGCGACAGAAATCTATTACAGTATGTAAAGCGCTTCTTGTAATGGTGGGTTATCTTCAAAAATGAACGCTCCCTAATGAGGAGAGTCCCTGACTCCGTCGTACGACGCTGTGTCCTGAGAGCCGTTGGCGCTGTCATGCGTGTGCTACGAGTATTAGTATGGCCCTCATAACAGTGCTGCAGCAGTACAGCAGGGCGATCCCGGAGCGAAGCGCATGGACTTTTAAAATTACGCTCGAATAAAGCCACGGCTGTCTTCACTCGTAAATCTTTAATATCTCCATGAATTGCTGCATTGTTGCTGATCTACAGCCACAGCTGTCGTCACTCGTAAACCTTTAATATCTCCATGAATTGCTGCATTGTTGCCGATCTGAAGGGCAACCATGTAGTCTTCATTCCGCCACGGCACAGTACAGGGCAACGCGACCGCATTTGCGTCCTTAAATATACCCAGAAAACTGTGTTCCGTATTTTCGTGACCAAACCACAAATTTATCCGTCGCATATTTGCTTGCATTGTCGTCAAAAGTCGCTTGGCGTTTCTCGGTTTGACCCACTGAAAGCGGAGATGATCGCGCAACCCTGAACCACAAATTGATACAACGCATTGTTGCCTTTTGCTTCTCCGTCCGCGATGCACTTACAAACTGCAGAATTTCACTCATCGCACCTTCACATGATTACCCGGATCTTGGAACTAAAACCTTGAAAGACACCCAGCGCAGGTTACAAGTGAAAGGGGTTTTCAGGTGAAACTTCAAAGGCTTCAATACATGACTCGCTTCTTCGCCTTCATTGCTCGGTGTCACCCTGGTCTCACGCTGCCAGCAGTTGCCTGCCCGTCGAAATCGATACGCCCTCTGCTCCTTTTGCCTCACGCATGCCGCGCTGGATCTCTCTCAGCTTGAAAACGCGAACATGCTCTGCTTGCATGTGGTTTACCCGGAAAGATGATGCAAGTATGACATAAATCTAAAGTTTGTACAGTATTTCAAATCTCAATTCTGCTTAACCGTTCGATCCCTAATTCGTATTGTTTTACTAACCCGTATTCAGAATTCCCATAAAATTGCGGAACATATTACCTCCTCCCGCCTCCTTCGCGCGAAATAGTGCCAACCAAAGCTCCTCTCCGAGTATGCAAACCCATTTGGCGCCATCAAAAAGGGCGCCACATAGCCTAACCACTCGGGGATGGACTGCATGATGCAGACCAAAAAAATGGAATAGAACTACATAAACCAATAACCGTGGGAAGGAGACGGCCTCCGAAATGCCTAGGTTGTGTGCTCTCGCCCCAAAACGGTCAGCTCGGGCCCGGATTTTGTCTGACAAAAGAAGGATTCGTAGACATTGTGTAAAGATGAGGGCTGTGAGGCGTGCATTTGAGATCTGATTGATGGGCCACGTCGCTTTCTGTTGAATGCGCCAGAAACACGAATTAGGAAAATCTCTTTAAACAGGCTTCATTTGAATGTTTTTAGTTGACGTGTTGTCTGAGCGGGTGCCCATATCCAAAGTCGACTGTTGGTTCCACAGATGCGCTTTCGTTGGAAGATGGGCTCGACTCTCTAAACTGTCCAAATCGTTAAAGAAATGGTTTTTGGTTTAAATCTATCCCGCTTAGTTTCAGAAACAAGAAAAATACGAATTAGGGACCGAACAGTTAAATTTTACCTCCCACACCCCAGTTGCTTGCGGGTACGTGTACAGCGATGTATAAGCCCTGGAAAAAATTGCTCCGAATCCTCATTTCAGGGTTTCATTGTTGCCACAGGTTTCGCCACCATCGAGAAGACCACGGTATACGCACAGCACCACGGTCTCGCTGGCAATGTTCTGGTTTTGGATACCAACTCTTGTTGGTCGGCACCTTCATTAAAAGTCTCAAAATCGGTGTCGAAGTTGAAAGACGGGGGACCTTCGTGACTCGATCTTCGAGACGGGTGTGTACAGTTTCGAACGAGAGATTTGTGTTAGTTTTTCACTACCCTGATGTCGAGACCCCCTCTCAGTAGTTTGGCCATGCTTCCTGTCCTATTTAAATACCCCACTTACCTCTGAGACCATCAATCATTCAACTCACCATCCTTCTGTCAAAGCATTCCAAGTCCAGTGACAACCGCAAGTCACCATGCTTCTTCAGTGCAGCTTATCGGTACTATGCACTCTCCTTGCTCTCGCAGCTGCTTCTCCAGCCCCAGTATCGCCCTCTGGACCGGCGAAACTGCTCTTGTCCCACTCCCAGAGGCTACCACTAGCAACAAAATATCATCTTTCTCTCCTCAACACTCGCTTCGGACGGCATCCGGTGGGGAACATATTTAGATCTCTCCTAAAAAGGAAGATGTCGCCCGGGCCTATTGATGTTACTCGGATCCATTCTCTCAATGCGTTTCGACAGGCGCATGATACGGTAAGAAGGGCACATGAAATTGGTCCAAGGGAACGCACAATGATCAGGCCCGAAATTGCTATACTTGCGGGCCTCCTAGCGGATCATCACCACATCCCATCCAGGACCGTCTCGCAGACAAAGTTTTCTGGTCGGAACATGGCATCAATCACTCATTCCCTTCTTCAGAACTCTCGTGTGCTGAGGAGCAAGCTTGGACAGTATGTCGGGAGAAAAGCAGCTCCATTGGGAACATCAAAAGACTTTGCAGGACTTTTTCGCACATCTTTGCCAACCGCAAATCGCATGGGGCTAACTGGTGATGATTGCACGGGCTCATCAGAATGTGCGGATGGAAGGATCTGTTTAAACACACAGGCCGACACGTGCTCTGCTGGCGAGGACTGCTTGTGTGTACCTTCGGACGGATTTGAGCCATGCACGTCTAGCCCCGATTGTTTGACAGCTGGAGAAGTGTGTGTGCAGCTAGGTAACAGCACAGTGTGTCTGTCGGAGGAAACTGCAAATGCCTTAGATTTTCCGATTGTGGACGCCGAGAGCTCTGATGATCCCGTAGAGACACCTGCAAGTAATAGTACAGACCCCAATGGGGGGAGTGGTGAGGGGATTACCGGTGCGATCTGCACGAGCTCATCGGAATGTGCGGATGGAAGGATCTGTACAGACGGATTCATCGACACCTGCCCTTCTGGCGAGACTTGCATATGTGTACCTTCGGACGGAATTGAGGCATGCACGTCAAGCGCCGATTGTTCAACAGCTGGAGAAGTGTGTGTGCAGCTAGGCAACAGCACAGTGTGTTTTTCTGAAGAAACTGCAAATGCCGCAGATATTCCGATTGTGGACGCCGAGAGCTCTGATGATCCCGTAGAGACACCTACAAGTAATAGTACAGACCCCGATGGGGGAAGTGGTGAGGGGATTACCGGTGCGATCTGCACGAGCTCATCGGAATGTGCGGATGGAAGAATCTGCACAGACATAGAGAACATCGACACGTGCTCTTCTGGTGAGACTTGCATATGTGTACCTTCGGGTGGATTTGAGGCATGCACGTCAAGCGCCGATTGTTCAACAGCTGGAGAAGTGTGCGTGCAGACAAGTGAGAGCACAGTGTGTTTTTCTGAAGAAACTGCGACTTCTGCAGACATTCCCATCGTTGGCGACGACACCACTGATGACCCTGACTCCAGCGCCGGTAGTGGTGACGGGATTACCGGTGCAATCTGCACGAGCTCATCGGAATGTGCGGATGGAAGAATCTGTACAGACATAGAGAACATCGACACGTGCTCTTCTGGCGAGACTTGCCTATGTTTACCATCGGACGGACTTGAGGCATGCACGTCTGGCGCCGATTGTTCAACAGCTGGAGAAGTGTGCGTGCAGCTAACTGAGAGTGCAGTCTGTTTTTCTGAAGAAACCGCAAATGCTGCAGACATTCCCATCGTGGAGATCGAGAGCTCTGGTACTCCGGAGGAGACACCCGCAAATGAGGACGCAGACTCACATGGTGGCAGTGGCGACGGGATTACCGGATCGACTTGCACGTGCTCCTCAGGTTGTACAGAAGGAAGATTCTGCACAAACGGAAACATGATTACGTGCCCTGCTGGCGACTCGTGCATCTGCATACCGTCAGGTGGAATGCAAGTTTGCTCGTCCAGTGCCGAATGCTTAACAGGCGGGGAAGTATGCGCGCGGGTAATCAATCTTACGCTGTGTCTATCAGAGGAAGTTGCGATTGCCGAAGGTATTCCGATCTTGGACGGCGTCCGCTCTTAACATTCATCTCCGAAGGTTAAGATTTGAGAAACGGTGTTTCTACCACGAAAGAAGGAGGAAGCAGCACCCCACCAGTGGATGGGACCATGAGTGTATATTTTCTCTCTCGATTGTGGTGGAAGCTTTGTTTGGCTACATCCCGGAAATTCTAGCTAGATATCCATGTATTGAATATGGTGCTTGTGCTATGGCTAGTCAAGCTAGAGCATCGATTGCATGTCGAATCACAGTAGATAAATCCCGTTTTGCATTTAAGGAACAGAACAGTCAAACCTCCATGATTTGAAACGATTCGTAGATGCCGTCCCAATGAATCAAGATTCTATTCCAGGAGACACCTGCGCCGTGAAGAGCATTTCTATCGATCACTGACAGAAAGCATTAGAGATGCTGTTGCTTTTATGCGCATACCTGTTAATAGTTTGATGCCGAGTCCATGGAATAATAATGTGTGCATGTAGGCACAGGCTTCCCATGATTTATGAGAGCATTGGCCGAGAGCATAAATTATGCTGTCTGACCCCATAGCGTAGCATTTACGGACCAGGGAGGAAGAAGCGAAAGACTGCAAGCGGAAGGCCGTTGAGGAACAGGGAGTGATGCTGAAGCGAAAGCGGATTTTTTCTAAGGAGGAGGGTAAAAAACAATGGGAGTCGATGGGAAAAATGAACTGGTAGACGGGGGGAGCGAATGGGCGAGGAGGTGGGTCTGGCATTTCGGAGGGATGGGTGCGGAGATAGAGTTTAGCGGGATCGTGATGTGAGGGGCGGGGCCAGTGGACGGACAACGCATCTGCCTTGATGGGTAGAGAAAGAAGGGACCTGCCCCAGGAGCGTTTTGAAGGCTTACGGTAATTGTTTTCTGTGGAGAGATAACTTGGGCTGAGTACAATACGAGCGGCACAGCAGCGACGTACGGTGAACTGGCGTGGCGCAGTGCCAAAATTGAATTTCACACTGATACGCGATTTGCATCGTTTCCTAAAAGCAAGCTAACTTTCATATTTTTGGGACGCATTGCTCCTTGAGATTTCATACTGACTGGACTTCATTGTTGATACACGCCCGAGAAGAAACTCAGAGTCCGGTAGTGCCCGGTCGCCACGATGAGGGTCATATTTCGGTCATGTCTCTCCGGCCTACTCAGTCGTTGTGGGTACCGTGTCCACCTATTCAGCTCAGCGGTCTGTGTCCAAAGTAGGATGTGCTACGTGAGGAAACGCCCGACTTGAAGTTAGAGCCGCCGCTGAGGGTGACGGCCACGCCACGGCCCCGTCGACGGCCACGCGACAAGGGGACATTGATTGGGGTTTGTGAGAGAGCACGCTTGCTGCCGGCGCTACCCTATCCCGGCACGGCAACGAGGCACGGTGGGAAGGTGGGTGTAATCCCACAATGTAAAGGGGGGGTGCTGGTGTTGTTGACAACAAAGTCCGATTTTTTTGTCACTGTCTGACATCAGACAGTGACAAAAAAATCGGACATGCAAAATATTTTGAAAAACATCTCCGACACGGGCCAAGGTGCACCGCCGTGCGTACCAGCGCCAGACAGTGCGCCGTATATCAGAACGACGTGGTTGAAATTAAAGAAAACATATCTCAATCGATTGCTCACAGCTTTCTACGTACAGTTGTAAAATGGTTGCTTGTCATACCAACAGAGAGCGTATGTTGGTATGGCTGACTCCCTTCTGTCTACAGTAAGGCTGGTCGTGTCTGTGGTCGTTGCGATGTATTCAGCACTTGGCTGGCGTGTTTCGGTCTGCTCTACCCCCTGCCCGGACTCTTTTCTTTAGACTATCGTACTCTAGCTTCCCTGTTAAGTACCTATCATTTTTCCCTCTTCTCGTCCTGCGATTCCCGTTCCTCTGCGCTCTTTCTTTTTGCGTTCGCTGCCTTTTGCACTCTCTTAGAGTGCCTCCATTCCCTGAGTTCTGCCTATGCGACCCCTCACTGAACGGCCACGGCGCATTGCGGCGTGCGTCAATTGTGACACGTGCACTTCCAGTATGACCTCGTTTCATAATCATAATGTGTAAAACGTGTTCAACCTGTATCTACCAGTTCACAAATACTACAGTATGCGCTACCACGTAGGCTGGTTCACAACAGTATAAGAGTGTAGAGCAACCCCACCGCGCAAATCTATATAACAACCCAAAAATACAAAACAGGCGGACTTTTCTATTTTTTTACCCAAGTAAAAAACTATTGCGATCAGGAAGTGCATTGCTGCCTTGCGGCAACAATCAAGTCTTTGTCCCCGAGTTCGGGGGCAACATTTGGGGGGGCACCTCTTCAAAAGCCGGAGCCCATCATTTGGCCTTCTGCATGACGGACCGCAAGGACAGACTGTCCGCATTACAGTCTGTCACACGCGGTACTTAGACCCACGAGACGGCGACGACGAGTAAAGACCGAACCATGAGGATTACGATTTATCAGGTTATGGCCTGCTTCGCTTCACTACGCAACACTCCGAACATCGAATAACAAACTGGATCGCGCTTACCCCAAGCACGCAGGACCGGCACGCACCCGCCGCAGCCAACCCCCAGTGCACAACCAAGCCGGAACGGAAACGCCCAACACAAGGCAGCCCCGTCCTGAATCCTCATCAACCCCCCAGCACCCCCACTGCCTCCTGCAGACCTCCTCTACATACCACCGCAAAACCCACGCACCCCACGTGCCCACTCCAATCCCATAATCATGGACCGCCGTGACATCCCCAAACTCGAACCGTCGAATTACGGTCCCTGGCTCATCGCACTCCGATCAGCCGCATACACACACGACGCCATTGATCACCTAGAAGGCAACCCGCCCACCCCCGACAATGAGCAAGACGTACACACACACACGATAGCGAAACAAACGCTTATCGGCAAGATGATCGCGACTATCCCCGCAGACATCCTCAAACCTGTTGCTAATGCCCGAGGAGCAACCCACCCCGTACGACATCCTGCAAAAACTCACAGTTCACCTTGACACCACAAATGCCAGCGACCACATTTATCTCAAGCAACTGGCCGAGCAATGCCAAATCGAGGAAGGGCAGACTGTATACGAATACGTCAAACGCCACGAAGCTATCCGAGCACAAATGATAGCCGCCCGTTTCCCCGATATGGCCAACCAATCCACCACAGTGGACTACATGATAGACGGCCTGAAAAAGAACCCCAACACAGCACAAATAGGCCTCCAGCTGCTCTCCCTCCAACCGAAGAGCATCAAAGACTTCGTGCACAAGTACAACTGGATCGACAACTATCGCCTAGCCATCCAACCAAGCAACCCTTGGCAATCAGCAACACCAGCACAACCCGAATACACTCGCACACCGCGACAACGCGCACCACGGCACATCACACGCCACCCCATGACATACCACCCCAACGCCTGTCGACACCACATCTCCAAAGGTTTCCGGCGCCCGCAGGACACCGACGCCGAATGCCGCGATCCGACACACCCGCGACACCAGAAGGCCTCGCGCAAGAAAGCATTGCCCAAAGCCCGAGTTGTACAGGAACCACCTTTCCTGACACAACCAGACCAGGAAACCGTCGACACCGAATCAGACGACAACGAAACATACTCAGCAGAGGGTATGTTCATACTCGACTCCGCCGCACACCCCACCCACACCTCCCGACCGTTCCCACGCATGAGGCCATTACCTCGCCCCACCAAATCAATCACAGCCACTAACCACTCCACACCATGCACGCACGCCGGCACAATACAGAGTTATACGAATAGAGGACACCGAATACGCCCCCGAGCGGTCCACACCCCCCAAATACCGTATACGCTAGTATCCGTACACTCTCTCACGTCACTAAACTGCACGGTCACGTTCAATCACCAACACGCATGCATACGAGACCGTGACAACACAGTAATCGGCACAGCCCCCTGGCACAACATACTCCAAGCATACGCCTGGACCCCCCGCAAAAGAACCAAAGCACACACAGCTAAAGGAGCTCGCACAAGACCCCGAGCACCATCCAAGCACCCCCCTCGCACGCACGCCCCCCCAACACAGCGCAACACCACAAACCTCACCACAGCCAAGGCCAACACAACAAACCCCCGCCTACTCCCCAACACCAGTACGGCAAAAAGACGAGCACCCAACATCCAACACTTCCACACGGCAAACCCCTACACAGCCAAACAAATCACGCACAACACAGCCAAAGCATATGATTGGCATCTAGCACTCAACCACGCGCCTCCCAAAGCGCTACAGCGCATGGCAAAAGAACGAACCATTCCCAACCTTCCGCCAAGCCTCCAAGGCGCGCCTCCCCCCATCAGTTGCTCCTCGTGCGCACACGCTAGGCAACAACCCCAACCACACCAGCTCGCACACCACTCTCAGCAGATAGCGGAACAGCTCAGCTCGGACACCTGCGGCCCAATCTCCCCACCCTCGACCCATGGAAACGAACACATCTTCACATGCATTGACACAGCGAGTCGGTATCTCGTCACATACTACCTACGACGCCGACAGGATTTCAACACAATAATTCCCCAACTATTCAAAACCCTAGCCATCCAAAACAAACTCCCGATCGCATACAGAACGGACAACGCCAAGGAATTCACATCGTCACATGCCAAGGCCACGTACAATTCGCACGGCATACAGCACATCACAAACACGCCCCATCAACCGCAAGAGAACTCAATAGCAGAGAGGATCAATAAGACGCTCTTCACAAATGCGCGCGCCGCATTACACCACGCCCATCTCCCACCAAAATTCTGGGAAGATGCAGTACGAGATGTGGCCTTCAAATACAACATCATGCGGCATAGCGCCACCCAACAAAGTCCATGGACACTCTGGCACGGACGCCCAGCCCACATGACCCGCATCTTCGCATTCGGGCAAATCGGCACCGCCCCCATACACGCCCACAAAACCAAACTACAAGGGCGCAGCGAACCCCCAAGATATATGTACCCCATATCGTAAACCCACGTCATGACCCTCACCATACACAACCCCCGATACCGCATCATCAGGGCGATCGACTTCCGACCATACGCCAGGCACCAGGACCCCAAGCACACGTCCAGCCGAGCTTTCAATGTCACAACCCCACGACACAAAAAGCGGCAAGGCACGCGCACAACAACAAGACACAACCCACCGCCCAGCAAAATCAACGCCACCACCACCGCTCCCCGGCACGTACAAGCAGCGCGCAAATACCCGGACGCCCAACAATGGGCAGCAGCACACAACGACGAGCTAG